CATCTCTCGTCTCCCTGCTGTTGTTCGCGCCCCTCCACCTCCCTGGGTCCAGGGCTCCCTCGAGGGCGCGAAGTTATTCGCGCTTCGCGCTTCGCGGTCCTCGTTCCTTCTCCCCCTCCTCCTCGTCCTCCTATTCCCCCTTTGGGAGGGCGGCGCGAGAGCGCGAAGTTATTCGCGCTCTCGCGCAGCGCGAAGCGCGAAGTTGGGAGCCCTAGCTGGGTCCACATCTTCTCAGGTGTCCCAGGGCTGGACGTAAGCGCTGTGCTGCTGAACTTCGGCTGTGCTTTGCTTTCGTTTTGGCAGGGAGGTACAGAAAAAGCAGGCAGAGCGGATCGAACTGCATCTTGGCTGCGTCTTGGCAGTGCAGCCTGATGTGTCCCCCTTGTTGCATATTGGCAGTGCCTCAGGAGGGAAAGAAACACACAGACACAATGAATCGTCCACTCCCTAGAAAATATGGGAAAATATGGGAAGTGTGGGTGGGGGAAGACAAAAACCCAGAAAATATGGGAAAATAAAGGGAATATTTTTATTTGTGTGTACTTATTTGTGTGTCCCAGGGCCCCTTCAATGCAGTAGGCCCAGTAGGTAAGAAATCGGCCTGCCGGCAGGTGCCCCGTGGAAGCTTCTCATCCGCCGATGGCCCAACGGGGACACAGGAGAAACTCTCCGGAGCACCTCGGGGCCCGAGCCCCCAATCATTCTTACAGCCATGAATCTTATCATCTGCGCCTGTCGTATTTCATCTTCCCCGTCTACGCTACTTCCCCACGACGTTCCTCCTCTTCCCCCCCCTCCACGCATCGCTACCATCTCCCCATCGTTCCCCATGCAGCTGTTCCTGCTCTTCCGTTCTGCGCCCTTCTCGCTTCGCAACCCCATGTTCTCCTTCTCATCTCCGCTCCTAGTCCTCCTCATTACGTTATCCCTGCGTGCTCTTTTTTTGCTGATCCTCTGTCCTCCTCCTGCTCGTCTTATTTCCTTCATACCGGGGCCTCTCTTCTCATCAGTTCCTTCCTGTTCTTCATTACCTTCCAAGTCATATAACTGATGCTTGTCGCTTGTCGTCCCTCCAATGTTCTCTCTCTCTCTCTCTTCCTCATTCCTCCGTGTTCCTTTTCCCTCATACTTCTCGTCCTCCCGTGTCATCCTCTTTTTTCACCCTTATGCTTGTGCTGATCCGCCTTCGTCATCCTCTCCTTTCATCCTTCTTCTCCTGCCCTCCTGATCCTTCCCTCTCATGTTTCTTCATGTTGCTCATCCTCTTTCCTCCTCATCCCCCTCCTTCATCCCCACCCTTCCTCCTGATCCTTCCTTCCCCATGTCCCACTCCTTTGTTTACGCCCTCCCCCCCGCCTCCTTCCTTCCTCTCTCCGCTGCCAGGAGAAGAATTATCCCGGCAAAGCAACCTCACTGCGATGTGTAGGAGCATATCTGGAAGCATTCCCCTTAAGATCCAGATGAGAATCCAGTTGTAGAAATCTGCTGTTCTCGAAGTCGTAGTCGCATTCGCGATGACAGTCGCAGTGGCAACGTCAGTCGCAGTCACAGCCTCAGCCTCAGCCTGCCTCAGCCTCAGCCTCAGCCTGCCTCAGCCTCAGCCTGCCTCAGCCTCAGCCTCAGCCTGCTTCAGCCTCAGCCTCAGTCTGCCTTCAGCCTCGGCCTCAGCCTCAGCCTGCCTCAGCCTCAGCCTGCATCAGCCTCAGCCTCAGCCTCAGCCTGCCTCAGCATCAGCCTGCCTCAGCCTCAGCCTCAGCCTGCCTCAGCCTCAGCCTCAGCCTGCTTCAGCCTCAGCCTCAGTCTGCCTTCAGCCTCGGCCTCAGCCTCAGCCTGCCTCAGCCTCAGCCTGCATCAGCCTCAGCCTCAGCCTCAGCCTGCCTCAGCATCAGCCTGCCTCAGCCTCAGCCTCAGCCTGCCTCAGCCTCAGCCTCAGCCTGCTTCAGCCTCAGCCTCAGTCTGCCTTCAGCCTCGGCCTCAGCCTCAGCCTGCCTCAGCCTCAGCCTGCATCAGCCTCAGCCTCAGCCTCAGCCTGCCTCAGCATCAGCCTCAGCCTCAGCCTCAGCCTCAGCCTGCCTCAGCCTCAGCCTCAGCCTGCTTCAGCCTCAGCCTCAGTCTGCCTTCAGCCTCGGCCTCAGCCTCAGCCTGCCTCAGCCTCAGCCTTCAGCCTCAGCCTCAGCCTCAGCCTGCCTCAGCCTCAGCCGCCTCAGCCTCAGCCTCAGCCTGCCTCAGCCTCAGCCTCAGCCTCAGCCTCAGCCTCATCAGCCTCAGCCTCAGCCTCAGCCTCAGCCTCAGCCTCAGCCTCAGCCTCAGCCTCAGCCTCAAGCCTCAGCCTCAGCCTCAGCCTGGCCTCATCAGCCTCAGCAGCCTCAGCCTCAGCCTCAGCCTGCCTCAGCCTCAGCCTCAGCCTCAGCCTCAGCCTGCCTCAGCCTCAGCCTCAGCCTCAGCCTCCTCAGCCTCAGCCTCAGCCTCAGCCTCAGCCTCAGCCTCAGCCTCAGCCTCAGCCTCAGCCTCAGCCTGCCTTCAGCCTCAGCCTCAGCCTCGGCCTCAGCCTCAGCCTGCCTCAGCCTCAGCCTGCTCAGCCTCAGCCTCAGCCTCAGCCTCAGCTCAGCCTGCCTCAGCCTCAGCCTCAGCCTGCCTCAGCCTCAGCCTCAGCCTGCTTCAGCCTCAGCCTCAGTCTGCCTTCAGCCTCGGCCTCAGCCTCAGCCTGCCTCAGCCTCAGCCTGCATCAGCCTCAGCCTCAGCCTCAGCCTGCCTCAGCCTCAGCCTCAGCCTCAGCCTCAGCCTCAGCCTGCTTCAGCCTCAGCCTCAGTCTGCCTCAGCCTCGGCCTCAGCCTCAGCCTGCCTCAGCCTCAGCCTGCATCAGCCTCAGCCTCAGCCTCAGCCTGCCTCAGCTCAGCCTCAGCCTCAGCCTCAGCCTCAGCCTGCCTCTGCCTCAGCCTCAGCCTGCTTCAGCCTCAGCCTCAGTCTGCCTTCAGCCTCGGCCTCAGCCTCAGCCTGCCTCAGCCTCAGCCTGCCTCAGCCTCAGCCTCAGCCTGCCTCAGCATTCAAAATGTGGCCCGGGAATGGAGTTCTGGGAACTCGAAGAACACGAAGTGGCCTACAGTTGGCTCCGGGCATTCAAAATCATGCCCAGGAATGGAGTTCTGGGAACTCGAAGACCACGAAGTGGCCTACAGTTGGCTCCGGGCATTCAAAATCATGCCCAGGAATGGACTTCTGGGAACTCGAAGACCACGAAGTGGCCTACAGTTGGCTCCGGGCATTCAAAATCATGCCCAGGAATGGACTTCTGGGAACTCGAAGAACACGAAGTGGCCTACAGTTGGCTCCGGGCATTCAAAATCATGCCCATGAATGGAGTTCTGGGAACTCGAAGACCACGAAGTGCGTTACTGTTGGCTAAAAAAGAATCCCCGGCATCCACCCCCGGATCGCGCCCAGACCCCCTGGGGCGTCATGATGCTCTCTATTGACCCTACTAGACCTATCAGTCTTCCTGAGTCAGTCTTCGCTGCTTAGGTAAAACACGGAGCTCGCTCGCAGGCACGCTCCAGCAGCTCGCTGGCAGCAGGGCTCTGCTCCTCGACGATGGGGCCGTGCCTCGCTCCCTGCGCGCTCGGAGGCACCGTGCCTCCCCGGCCCGGCCCGTGCTGGGCCCAGGATCGGCGAGCGCGCCCCTCCTGGCCTGGCCAGGGCGGCCGCCCTGGCGGGCGTCGTCCGCAGGGACTCCTCCTCCTCCTCCTCCTCCTCCTCCTCCTCCTCCTCCTCCTCCTCCTCCTCCTCCTCCTCCTCCTCTCCTCCTCCTCCTCCTCCTCCTCCCCGCTCGCCTCGATCCGAATCTGCACCCGTCCTGCCTGCGTCTCGAGGGAGGGGGAGGCCCGGGGGGGGCGCCCTCTCGCCCTCCGCCAGGGCCCCCAGAGACCAGGGCATTGCCGCTGACCAGGGCGTCGACAGTCACCCAGGCCCGCCGCCCACAAAGTGCCGGCATCGGCGTCCGAGGCCCTTGAGTCCTTACCCCCCGTCCTTGCTCTAGACCTCGACTGTCAAGTGCAGAGCCCTGTCGAGCGTGGTCGAGGACGAAGGGTGGGGAAGGTCTCGGCCCGCGGCTGCAGCTTTCTCGGGCGCGCCGAGGTCCGGACTATCGACGTCCCCGCTGACGGGGCCCTGGCTCCACCTCTCGAAAAAGAGATCGCGGCATGACCATAGTCTGTCGCAGCTCCGCGCGGACTTCTTGGATCGGGGCAGGGCCCCCTTGGCGGCAGCTCCAGCGCCGCCCCTGGGGCGCTACGCGCAGCAGGGAGGGGGTGATTCAGCGCGGGTCCACAGAAATCCGCGCGGGCCTCCAGCAGTTTCTGGCTGTGGCGTTGTTTGTCATTTCCCGATGTCTCCTCCCGCCCTCGCCCTCCCTTGGCCCTCGCCCTCCCCCTCGCTGGGCACATCCTCGCCCTCGCCCTCGCTCCCCCCCCCCGGGGGGCGGTTCCTCGCCCTCCCCCTGGCTCCGCCTCCTCCCGCACCCGCCCTCTCTCTCAGGCTGCTCCTGCCGCTGGTGGCGGTGCTGCAGCGGAGGGGTGGGGGTGGGGGGGCGCAGGCGCTTTGGGCGCAGGACGTGCGGGCTCCTCGCCAGTGCGGCGGGCTCCTGCCGTCTCGACGATTTCCCAGAGGTTTTGGTGGCCTCGTGCGCTTTGTTGGGGTTGCTTTCCTGCCCCGGGCACCATCAGCAATCATCAGCATCAGCGTCAGCATCATCATCACCGTCATCACCGTCATCACCGTCATCATCATCATCATCATCATCATCATCATCATCATCATCATCATCATCATCATCATCAGCAGCAGCATCATCAGCATCATCATCATCATCATCATCATCATCATCATCATAATCATCATAATCATAATCATGATCATGATCATGATCATCATCATCATCAGCAGCAGCATCATCATCAGCATCATCATCATCATCAGCATCATCATCGTCATCATCATCATCATCATCAGCAGCATCAGCATTAGCAGCAGCATCAGCATCAGCATCATCATCCTGATGCATGTTTTCCGCCTCCTCCTCCTCCGCCTCCTCCTCCTCCTCCTCGTCCTCCTCCTCCCCCTTCCTCCCGCCCCCTCCTCCTTGACCTCCTCCGCCTCCCCAACCGCATCCGCATCCTTTGGGGGGGAGGAACGGACCCTCCCGTCCGCCCGCCGCCGTCGGGCGCCTGCCGGCGCGCTGCCCTGTCTCGCGCTGCTGCCCGAAGGCCCAGCGGCTTCCTTCGGCAGCAGCACGCGCATACAGTCGGGGCGCTGCAGAAGGAACCCGTTTCGTTGGGGAGGGGCTCGGTGTTCCTTGATTGTTTCAAAGTTTGCTTGGGGGGGTCCTGAGGTTTTCCATGGGAAATCGAGGTTGAACTTATGGGAAAAAAGGGCCTCGTTCCTTATTTAATCGCTTCGCTCATTCCGCCGGCCCATACAGTCTCATGTCTGCCGTTTGCCCGAGGGCCTGGTGTCAATGCGGCGCTTTGGGGGTTCCTGGGGCCGCTTGGGGGACTCCTGGGGCGCTCGGGGGGGCATTTGGGGGGCCTCCTGGGGCCGCTTGGGGGACTCTTGGGGGCCTCCTGAGGGCCCCGTGGGGGCCTCTTGGGGCCTCTTAGGGGCCTCGTAGGGGCTTCTTAGGGCCGAGGGCTCGAAATGTTGTTTCGTGTTCCCTCTCTGGGGCCCCTTTGGGGGCGTTCTTGGGGCCCTCTTGGACCGTTTTGGAGGCTTCTTGGGCCGTCTTCGAGCCCTCTTGGGCCATCTTGGGGCCCTCTTGGGTGCCTCTTGGGCCCTCTTGGGGCGATCTTGGGGGCCTCTTGGGCCGTCTTGGGGCGTCGGGAAGCCGAAAAGGTGGAAGCTCCAAAATCTCTCAAAAACCTATGGAAAAACAATGATTTTTGCCTCCGGGGGCCCTATTGGGAGTGCTCTTGGAGGCCTCTTGGGGCGTCTGGGGGCTATCTTGGGCGTCTTGGAGCGATCTTGTGGCATGTCGGACCCCTCGTGTACCATCTTGGGGGCCTCTTGGGGGCCTCTTGGCCTTTCTTGGGGCTCTCGGGGACGTCTCGGAGCCCTGTTGGTGCGCTCATGGAGCGCTCGGGGGGACCCGGCCGGGACCCGGCCGGGACCCGGCCGGGACCCGGCCGGGACCCGGCCGGGACCCGGCCGGGGACCGGCCGGGACCTGGTCGGGGTACTTTTCGTCCGGGGACCCCCAGGGGCCGCCCCGCGCGCGCGAACTAGAAAATTGTTAACCAGTTACCGGAGATCTTAGCACGCCTCTGGCCCGTTGGGCCGGCGAATTTAGGGTTCCTTAGGTCAACGCCTCGACTGTACCCCTCGTGTCAAGCAGCGGCGAAGCGTCCTGGCTCACCTGTAGCCCTACCAAGCAATGTTCTAAGAACCTTTTGTGGTTTCCACGAAATGTTCTTAGAACAGTTCTGGCGGAGTCGTTGTATCACATCGGGTTTATGTTCTAAGAACATTGTTTTTGTTATTATAACACTTTTGGGTTCCAGGAACATGTCGTGGTATGACTATAGGAATGCTGGGACGGTCGGTCCCTGCTGCACTCGTGCCTTCCCCCCCCCCCCCGACCCCAGACCCCCTCGAGTCATGAAGAAATCACGGCGGAAGGTTTTTCCATATCTTCAGCCTCTGGCGGCCCGTACGGGCCCTCGGGACCGTCAAATAACTACTCAGGATGAAAAACCGGTCCCAGCGAGTAGGTCCAGAAAAATCACGACGGAAGGTTTCTCTATATTTTCCGCCTCTGGCGGCCCGTACCGGCCCTCGGCACCGAACATCGCTGGATGTGTCCAGGGCGGCGAGCGCGGGGGGGAAACGAGAAGGGGAAGGTCCTCTCAGAAGGCGGCGCGCGGCTTCTAAGAGGGCCTCCGGCCGCCCAGGAGGCGCTCTGCATCTTCGGGACAGGCTCAGAAAGCTTCAACGAAGGCCAGAGGGGGGACGCCCGAGTCTTCTGAGAAGACCCGCCCCTCCTCACTTCCCCCCCCGGGCTCGCCGCCGGTCCTCCGTCGTTGCATGCTTTCGCGGCGTGGGCCCCCGAGAGCCTCGACTTCTCCTCCGCCAGGGGCCGGTCTCTCGCGGCCCCGCAGCCGGCACGCGCCCCCCCCCCCCCCCCCGAGGCCGAGGACTAGGATGGCCGGTTGTCACGGTTTCTGTTGCGACGCCCGGATCTGAGGGGCCCCCCCGCGCTGCACGACGGAGGCGCGCCAAGGGGGGAACCGAGAGTCAAACGGTGGCGGGGCGTCTTGGCTTGCCTGTAGCACGCCCGCGGCGGCGGCGGTTGCGGCGGCGGCGACGCCGACCCTCGAGGGCCTGGTGCACCCAAAAGGGGGTCCAGCGAAATGAGGGTTGTGCAATAGATCTGGTGCAATAGATTGGCGGGGTTGTGATAGATTTGGGGCGTGCAATACACTACGGTGCGCAAGCGTATTGCTGGGCTGTCGCGTGTCATACATTCGTTGCAATGCACTGCAACACGATTCTCGGGAGCAGAAGATTTACGATACAGTTGCCACAAGCTAATCCCAGACATGCGACGTCTGGATTTGTTCAGTACGGCGTCCCCAGAAGTCCAGACCTTTTCCCCGGGGCCGGTTTTTCGTCCTGAGTCGTTTTCTGCCGGTCCCGGGGCCCGGCGAGGGCCCCCAAGGGCCGAACATAGAAAACAACAAACCAACAATGCCGTCCTGATGTTTTTTTACGACGCGATCATGCCTGGGATTGCACCACCCCCTTGCAGCCGGAGCCCCTGTTGGGTCAACCGCAGAGGGGGGGGGCGCAGGAGCGCGGCCCTGGTGGCGGCCGAGCCGGCGCCGCCCGGCGAGACGTTCTCGGCCACTGTGGGCGCGCCGCCGCCGGGGCAAGGCCTGGCGTGCCGGGTCGTCGTCGTCGTCGTCGTCGTCGTCGTCGTCGTCGTCGTCGTCGTCGTCGTCGTCGTCGTCGTCGTCGTCGTCGTCGTCTTCGTCCTCGTCCTCGTCTCGTCCTCGTCCACGTCCTCGTCGTCGTCCTCCTTGTCGTGGTCGTCGTCGTCGTCCTCGTCCTCGTCGTCGTCGTGTTAGTCGTCGTCGTCGTAGTAGTCGTCGTCGTCGTCGTCGTCCTACTTGTCGTGGTCGTGGTCGAAATTGTCCTCGTCCTCGTCGTCCTCGTCCTCGTCGTCGTCGTCGTCGTCGTCGTCCTCGGCGTCGTCGGCGTCGGCGGCGCTCAGTTCCAGGCCCCACGTTCGGGCCCGTTCGAGCATGGAGGGGGCGGAGGCGGGGAGGATGCGGACGGCCGCGGAGCACGGAGGCGGACGACGGCCCGGGCTGTTTCTTCCGTTGGCGGCGCGACGACGACGGCGACGACGATGGCGACGGAGGGGGGCGGCTGCGGCGTCGGCGGCGGCAGAGAGGCCCCGCCCCGCACGAGGCAGGGCGTGAGGCGGGCGTCGGTGGCGTGGCCGTCGGAGACGACGAGGACGACCCACGGCGGTCAGCACCACTGAGGCCGACGCCGACGTTGACGCCGCTGGCGGCGGCGACGGCGGCGAGCGGCGGCGCGACGGCGGTGGCTGGTGGCGGCGGCGACGGCGGCGGCGACGGTGGGGGCGAGCGGTGGCGAGGACGGCGGCTGGGCCGCTCCTCGCGCGGGGGACCCGAGGCGGCTACCCGCTGCTGTCAGTGCCCGCGGCGGTGCCGGCGTCGCACCTGCAGGCACAGCGCCTCCGTCGTATGCTCCGCCCGCTTCTGCTCACGGCCCCCAGGCCTCAAAGAGGAGCCCAGTCGACCAGAGGAGGGCGAGTGGAGACAGCGGTAGTTCACCTTCGGGGGGCCCCTTCGTCGCCACGCGTCGGAACGCAGCTCGGAAAGCTGCTGCGTTGGGGGCCGATTTTGAGCTGCCGTTGTTTCCACTCGCCCTGCTCCAAGTCGAGCTTCGTGCCCAAATCCCGTTAGAAAGAGTGGCCCAAGGAGGCCGCAGAGCCTTGTCGCTCGAGTCGCAGTAAGCGGGGTCGAGCCCTTTCTGAAGCCATGCAATGGTCCTTCAGGCTCGCTCGCTCGAGCATTCCGACTTCCTCGGTTCGTCGCTCTTGTGCTCCCTGTGCCCCTCGTGGCCCGGATTCATCTTGCTCGTGTTGCTCCTACTCCGTGCGCCCCTCCTCCCCTGCCTCCTCACCCTCCCTCCTCCTCCTCCTCCTCCTCCTCTTCCTCCTCCTCCTCCTCTTCTTCCTCCTGCTCCTCCTCATCATGATTATCCTGATGTTCCTCCTGACCGTTCACCTCCTTCCCCCCTCCACCTTATCCTGCTCTCTTTTCTTCTCCCCTCTCCCCCTCCTTCTGCTCCTCCACCTTTCTCTCCACATCCCTCTTTCCAGGAACCCTCACTGGCTCGAACAAGAATCGGCACGCGGCACCGGGCGACCGTCCGGCAGCGTCGGGGAGGCCATGAAGCAGAAGGCCACCGTGAGCATCTCTCGCCGCAAGTCGCGCAAGGTCCGCGCCGTTGTTGTTTTGTTGCTGTTGTCCTTGCTGTTCTCAGCCCATGCCTCTGGGGCGGGAATTTATGCATGACCACCGCCTGGAGGGTCAGTTTTCTGAGCCTCGGCAAGCGATGGATATGGACATATTCGGGCCCCCGGGGGCCGAAATATATCCATATCCGCCGCCCGCTGGGGCACCATGACGTCGGTTCCCAGGCGGCGGATATGCATAAATCTCCGCCTCGCAGCTACGCTCGGTGTCCGGCGGCTGTGAACTAGCGACCCGCGACGCCCCCCCGGCACCATCCGCTGGCGCCGCCCGCCCGCAGCGCGAGCGGACGGCGCCAGAGAGGCCTCAGGGAGGTCCGCCTCGGGGGGGCCCCGGGCACGCCCCGCGGAGCAGCACCGGTGCGAAAGATTGAGCCTGGAGCGCCCGAAGCTCCAGGAATGTACCCAATGCCGCTACCCATCCCTCGTTTTCGACGCTCGGAGGGCCTCCGGGAGGCCCTCCTCGCCACCGCTGGGCTCGCTTCAGAATCCTGGCTGGAACGCACCCCTGCTGGAGAGGTCTGGGGAACAGCAGTCTCGGAGCCTGTTGGCTGCCCCAAAAAACACTCCATGTCGCCGGGGGCCTGGGCCTGGTTGAGGGAGGAGGGGGGGCCGAGCACGCAGTCGGGCGCCAAGGTGTTCCAGGTCACCCGCGGAGGCGCCGTGGTAATTCAGGGCTCTTGACGTGTCGCGGCCTGGGCCAGAGAGCGCTCTGTTGTAAATATCCCGGTGGCGGCGCGGGGGCTTCGAAGAGAATCGTGTGTCGCGCATCGCGGGGAGCGATGCGCGAAAGCAGCAGGAGGAGGAGGAGGAGGAGGAGGAGGAGGAGGAGGGGGAGGAGGCCGCGCACCGCGGGGAGCGGTGCGCGAAAGCAGGTGGCACAGGACGCACCCCGGCCCTTCGAGGAGCGGCCCTGCCGCAGGCTGAGGCAGCGTGCCGAGCGCTGCCCCGCCGGGCCGGCGTCAGCCCCGCGTTCCGCTCGGCCCCCCTGGTCCCGCAGCCGGCAGCAGGAGGAGGAGGAGGAGGAGGAGGAGGAGGAGGAGGGAGGAGGAGAGGAGGAGGAGGAAGAGGAGGAGGAGGAGGAGGAGGAGGAGGAGGAGGAGGAGCAGCAGAGTGCCACGTCCGCCGTGCCGCGAGGCCTACTTCACGGCGCCGTCGCACGTCCGCAGGAAGCTCATGAGCGCGCCGCTGAGCAAGGCCCACACGGGGCGGCATGCGTGCTCGGCCGGGGCCGACAGCGAGGGTTGCAGGCCTCTCGCGCTGCCGCCCCCGTGCATCCTTGCCTTCCTGGCCGGCCCTCGGCCTCGGGTCCCATGAGCTGCTGGCCCGGCGGCAGCCGCAGTCGCCTCCACGTCGTCGTCTAAGGGCCCCGCGTTATTGCCATGCGTCCTCGCCATGGAGTGCACCCCCGCCCCAGGGGATGAGGCCAACGCCCCACCCACAGACGTTCGTCTCTCTCTCTCTCTCTCTGCTCCCTCCGCGACAGAAAGAGGCGACCCTCCTCGTTCTCTCTCTTGCTCTCTCGCACTCGGGGAAAGAAGAGGCGACGCCACCACCACCAGGGGGGCCTGCTCCAGCGAGGGGATGCACGATGCCTCCTCGAGCTGGGGACGGGGGGGTCTCGAGCGAGAGGGGGGACCACACCACCAGGAGGACCCTCCCTGGCGCCTCATGCGGGTGGTGGTTGCGTCGCCGCTCCCTCTTCCTGCGCCCCCGCCCTGCCTCGCCCTCATGGCGAGGCGAGGACGGTGGGGGATGCCAGTCTGGGCCGCCCCGCCCCGCTCCCCACACGCCCCCTCCTCCTGGCCCTCCACCTCCCACGGCGTGGCTCGGGGGGCCCCCCTCCTCGTCCCTGCCCCCTCCGCCTCCGACGTCGGCGGGGCAGCACGGGGTGTGTGTGTGTGTGTGTGTGTGTGTGTGGTGTGTGGGGGGGGGGGGCGTGGGCACGGCGGCGGAGGGGGCACGTCCGCGCGGACGGCCTCGCGGGCTCGGGCCCCCTGGGGACCGCGCCCACCGTGGCTGCCGGGCGTCTTCTGTTTTCGCGGATGCCCCCGCGCGGAACGCAGTCATGCGCACGCGCATCCACGGGGATCGCGCCCCAGATTCCAGATCGCGCGGGCGTGGATGCGGATACCGTTCAGCGTTCGCGTGCGTGGGTTGTTCGCCGCGCCCCCTTCCGAGGACCTCCGCGCCAAGTACTCCGTTCGCTCGCTGCCCATCCGGCGGGACGACGAGGTGATGATCGTCAGGGGCCACTACCACGACCGGGAGGGCAAGGTGACCCAGGTGTACCGCAAGAAGTGGCGCATCCACATCGAGCGCGTCACGCGCGACAAGGCCAACGGTCAGACGGTTCCCATCGGCATCCACCCGTCGAAGGTGACGATCACCAAGATCAAGCTCGACAAGGACCGCAAGGCTCTCCTTGACCGCAAGGGTGGGAAGGGCAAGAAGGGCCAAAAGTACACCGACAAGGACATGGAGAAGTGAGACCATGCCCGCGGCGGTCTCGCGGCACGGGCTTTTCTCTGGACCGAGCAGCGGCAGCCGATCATCCCCGAACCTTCGTAGTCTTGTCCTGTTCCTCACCGGGGCCGCCGCGCGAGCGCCAGAGTGTGCGGGCGAGCGTGCGAGCGCGCGAGCGCGCAGGCCGCAGGCACGGAGGAGGGCGATCGCTGGGTCGCCTGCCCGCACGCGCGCGCGCAGGCGTGTGCGCCTGCCTGCTGCGGGTACACTGTGCGCCTCGCACGTGGCCCCCTGTCGCAGGCGCCGCAGCCCACATTCACGCGCGTGCACGCGTGCACGGGCGCCGTGCTCCCGTGAGACAGGAGAGCGGGCGGGAGGGTAGGATCGGCAAGATATGCGGGTTGCGAGAGGGGCACGGCGGGTGCGAGGCAGGCGGGCGGGGGGAGTCGATGAGTGCAGAAGTGAGGGGGAGGCGGCGGGGGGCGAAGAGGGCAGTGAAGAGGAGGCAGAGGGATATGAGTAGGGGAGGGAGAGCGGGGGGGGGGGGAGTGAAAGGGAGAGGAAAGCACGGGGGGGGCGGGGGGCAACACGATGAAGCAAGTATGACGCCCCCCTTCCGGTGAAACGATAAACGCACCAAGCACCTTGGAGCGTCATCATGGCACCCTGAGGGGGAGGAGGAGGAGGAGGAGGAGGAGGAGGAGGAGGAGGAGGAGGAGGAAAAGGAGAAGGAAAAGGAGAAAAAGACTCAGGAACTAGGAGGAGTGGGAGGAGGAGGGCAGGGAGGAGGAGGAGGAGAAGGAGGAGGAGGAGGAGGAGGAGGACAGGGAGGAGGAGGAGGAGGAGGAGGAGGAGGAAGATGAGGAGGAGGAGGATAAGGAGGAGGAGAACAGGGAAGAGGGGGACGAGGAGGAGGAGGAGGAGGAGTCGATTGTTCAAGCGCGCTCTCAGGCAGTTTCTAGCCCGCTTCAGTGAGTTCAGCGCCACAGAAGGAGACAGCGCCACAGAAGTCGTTCATCATCGTTGTTATCATAATGTTTCGCGGTTTTCACTGGCCAGGCCATCAGGGTGTTGGCAGTTCACCATCTTCGGCGTTCAAGGCTCTTGCGTTCTTGATGTCGGTCCCCGGGGGATAGTCATTTATTGTGGTGCGCCTCGGTGCGGTGCGAATGATGTCGCTTCGCTAAATCCGCCCCCGCGAATCAGTTATCTTCGTTCCGGTGCGAACGATAACACAGGGGGGGACAAGTGTTTCCCTCGGGTCATGGCGGAGGGGCAGGAGGAGGAGGAGGAGGAGGAGGAGGAGGAGGAGAGGGGAGGAGGAGGAGGAGGAGGAGGAGGATGGAGGGGGAGGAGGAGGAGGAGGAGGAGGAGGAGGAGGAGAGGGGGAGGAGGAGGAGGGGGAGGAGGAGGAGGAGGAGGAGGAGGAGGAGGAGGAGGCGGCGAGGCCAGGCGCAGAAGGCAGACGCCTCGCCGCTGCGGCCGCCGCCGCCGCCCTCGCCTCCGTTGGGTCGCCGCCCTCGCCACCGTGGGCCGCCGCCGCCCGGCGCCGCCGCCCGGCGCCCCGCCCGGCGCCGAGGGGCTGCTGCCCCACTCCTGGCAGCTCGGCTGCGAGGCGGCGGGGCGAGAGCCGCTGGCGCGGCCCGCGGGGGCGCTAGGCGCTCCGCCGCACCGCCGCCGCCCGCAGCTCCTCGGCGGCCATCCTCGGCCTCCCGCGGCCGCAGCGGCGGCCCTCGCCGGCCTTGGGTGCCCTCGTCGCCGCAGCCGCCGCCGTCGTCGCCGCCATCGTCGCCCTCGTCCTCGTCGTCCTCGTCCTCGTCGCCGTTGCCCACGGAGGTTCGGGGATGGAGCATGATGGAGGATCGAGGTCTCTGGGGCGCTCATGGGGGCTCCAGAGGACCTGAGGACCTTCGGAGGCCTCTGGGGGCCTCCAGGCGCCCAGGTTTTCGGCTGGCCTCCGGAGGCCTCGTGGGGTCGTCGTCCGCCCCTTCTCCGCCGCCGTCGGCGTCGTGTTCTTCCCCGCCTCCTCCCTCCTCTCTCCTCCTCCGCGGTCCTCCTGTCCACCTGCTCCTTCTCCTCCTCGTCCTCCTCCTCGTCCTACTCCTCCTTCTTATCCGCCCCCTCTTGCTCCTCCTGGCCATCTGCCTCCTGATTTCCTCTCGTCGTGGTCTGGTGTCTGGTGCGACCCGGATTGGGGAAGTTGGGCTGTCTGATTGTGGGCAGAGCAGTTCCTAGCGACCCTTCACCAGACAATGCTGTCCACTGCTCCTCCTCTTTCTTATGCTTCATGCGTCGCGTCCTCCTTCTCCTCCTCCTCCTCCTCCTTCAGGTTCCGTGTTCGCCCGCCCATGCGCTGTTTGTTGTTGCCCTCCATGTAGGCGGCTAAGGTGGCATCTTAACCAACTCAGTTGGCTACCCGGCTAAAGTGGCATCGTGGCAACTTATTCGGCTATCTTTGTTTCTTTAATGCTCCGCTTCTTCCCTCATGATCTTCGTTTTTTCTCCCGCTTGCCCCCTCCTCATGGTCCTGGAGTTTCTCTTCCTCCCCGACCTCACCCTTCTCCGTCTCCTCCTCCTCCTCCTCTTCCTCCTCCTCCTCCTCCTCCTCCTCCTCCTCCTCCTCGACCTCCTCGATCCTCTTTCGTATCACGACTGCTCCGCAGTCCTCCCCCCATCGACCCACTCCTCCTCCTCCTCCTCCTCCTCCTCCTCCTCCTCCATCTTCTTCCTCCTCCTCCTCCATCCTCCCTCCTCTACCTTCTTCCTCCTCCTCCCCCTCCTCCTCTCCTCTTCGTCCTCCTCCTCGCATCCTTCTGCTGGACCTCGTCTCTCCTGGACCCCGCCCTCTCCTCCCCAGGTCATGCCCCGCTCCTCTCTCGCCGACCTCGCGACCTCCTCGACTCCCCCCCCGCCTGGGGGAGTGGCCGCGCCCCCCCCTGGCCTCGCGGACGTCGCCGCCCTCGGCCGCCGCCCCCCTTG